CTGACCCAACTGGATGTGGCATCATTCACTACCACTCTCTGGGCCCAGCCAGCCAGCCAGTTCTTAACCCAGCAGAGACAGAATGTCATAAGGTAGTTTCTTTTATTGAGTTGACTATTTAATTTCAGAGAATTTGAAAAAAAACCTTGTTGAAAACTTTGCACCAGATTTCAGAAGACTGTCCTGTCTTGCTCTAGTTGATCATAGATAAACGAAATCTCTTTCATAGCGACGAAGGGGAAAAACACCATAGTCCTCCCCACATACATACACACCAGACACATCCATCAAACACCTTAACAAATACTATGAAGTATAACTGTCTGTTGCATGACTTCAGTTTAGATGCAAGGAAAATTAAGTTCTTTCTGGAAAGAGCTGTGACCACTGAAAACCTAAGTGAACCAAGGGGTACATATACAAATGCCCCAAGTTTTACACTAGGCTACTACTGCTGAACACAGCTGTAGAAGTTCATCACTAAGATGAAAAAACAAGAACCAATTCACCAAAATAGCAAAATATTTACTGTTAGAAAAAGAGAAATTAACAAAGACTCATACAAAGGAGCCCAAGAGACAGGCAGGAGCACTTCAATTCCAGTGTCAGTAAGGCTACAGCTGTACAAATGTAATTCCATCTTACATCAGTAAAATACTTTGCAATCTCACCCAAAAGTGCCTTTGGTAAAAGACTGATAATGCAGTGTCAACTCTACCCACTATTGAAAAATTATTTATGGAACACATTAATTTAATTTCATACTCAACTTTCCTTTGAACAATTTTCTGTGGTGCTTTTAGAACTTGTCCTCTTGGGGGCAACTAGAAATCTCACTAAACTAGCTAGCTAATCATACAGCTTTACAAACAGCATAATTCAGTTAACATCACTGACAATAAAGGGGTATATGACAACAGCCAATGGCCCAAATTCAAAACGAAACTGAAGATACTAAGTGGTTTTATAAATGCCTCTAATGAGGAAGGATGACCACTCCACAATGAAAAGCAACCCAGTAAAGCTAGCTTGAAAACACCCTGCTGTACAACACTTGATCTTCAGAGACACAAACCAAATAGCTGCAGTTTTGCACACTGCTTTATTCACATATTGGCTTAGCCTCAACTGATCTGAGTTATTTCAACTCAGAATGCCAGTATTCTTTGAGAAAAAACGAGAGAGAACACTGTATTACCAGTAAACAGTAACAGTAAAAAATAATACCATTTTTTCCTAGAAAATGTTCCACCCATCCCCAAAGGGTATTTACATATATTACAATGGAACCATGTCTCTTGTAATATACGTAACACATCAAAATTCTAAACCTCAGTTGCTTGCACTAACTTAAGTGTATCTTCCATCAAAAAGAAAGAATTCAATTATTTCAGGATGTCATTAAGATACATGCAAGAAGTTCCACAAACAAAAAGATCCATAGTTTTAATTTCAGTTTGACAACTGCGAAGTAAGGAATAACAGCAATATCCTGAACATCACTAGAAAGCAATTTCAATATGATGACACAAATCATGCAATGCACTACAAAAAACTAACATTATGTAATGCAAAACAACTGATATAAGTCATGCAGAGGAGAAAATACCTGTACCGAGCCACCATGTCTGTCAGCTGCCAGGTGAGCCCTCAAATGATGTGGATTGACTTGCTGTGAGTCCCAAGCTGCCCTGTGATCTGTTGACTATCATTTTTGAATGCATCAGAGGTTTATGCAAAAGAAGAAAAAAAATCAAAAAATAAAACAATTTCTGCATTATTATTCACTATTTTTAAAAAGCACAGAAGCATTAAACACTCAATTCCTACACAGATTGCACTTCCACATTATCAACATACCTACACATACATTTTCAAAGAGATGAAGTAGCTAAAACTCAAAATGCTTAGTAAGAAAACTGTAACTTTGCATAAGTAGATGGGCACAGCACTGAATTCCTAACATTTTTATCACCTTAATCATTAGCCTGGTTTAAAAAAGAAAATGAAAAAGTTATACATACATGGTAGAACCCAAACAGAGGATATGGAGAAGACACAGTAATTAAAGAAGTATCAGCAGAGAGAAAATTCACTATTAATGTAATCTACATTATATCACAGCTTTAAACAAGCAAGATTTTAGGACATTTTAATGTATTTCTACACTGTAGACCTTAACAAGGATCTACTTAAAGTAAAAGCACAGAAAACCTGGAGTGAATTTTATTTTGAAGTTCTTATAAAAATAATAAAATGCACAAATCATTAGACAAAAGACATAATAACGTTGATAATCTTACATGAGCAGTTTACCTGATTTTTGGATTGTTGTATTCTATCTCTGTGCTGATACACTTCTCTGTTCGAAGACACAGCAGGGTCTGAATGTATTGAACCCAATGGAGTAGGCTACAAATATAAATAATATGTAGCAACTGGTAAAAAAAATAAGTTTCTAAGTATCACCAAAAGTTATTGGTTTGTAACAGAAAATAATCTTTAAATCTAACATTTTCCAATAACACAAAATTATCAAGTTAAAGCAGAAGCTTCACTAGATATTTACTAAAATCCATGAGAAAAAAGCAAACCAAGACTTAGACAATTCAATGAAGTTGCAATTCTAAGTATTATCATACACTAATTTCCTGGAAGACTTTCTGCAGTTAGCAGTTAGGACATTCTGATGAAAGCCTGACAAAAGGCTTTAAGCAATTTTTAATGCTAAACACTGAAAAAAAGTTTCTGCAATAAAATAAATACTATGATTCTTTCAGAGTCACACAGAAAACTGCACGATGAAGTGTATAATATGAAATTAGTCAAACGTACACACATTAATCCTTCCCTACTCATTAAAAAGTGAAAAAATTGAGATGCTGAAAAAAAGCCACCTTTTACCCCTTCTTTAAAGTGTTTTGTGTAACTTTAGATGCACTGTGATGAACTATGCAGTTTCTACATAAGGAATTGATATGTATCTGGAGTGTACCTCATATGCAGAGAAGTTACGGCTCTACATTTTAAAAATACTGGGAGCAAGAAAGTTCCCAGAGCAAAAAAGACCCCATGCAATAATGACAATCACCTCCAGAGTTTTAAGCACCTTCTTAAACTCAAAAAACAGTTTGAATTTCTACAGCCTCATTTGGATTTGTAGAAATGTACTTGGATATTGAGAGAACATTTGGAAAGAGCCTGAATATGAAACACCCAATTCAAAAGATAATGTTAGAAAATGTATCTGAAAATGGGATTGTAATTCCAGCAGTTCACAACTCTAAAAACAGCCTTGAGATGCATGTCTTCTACAGCTCAGTTCCGACACGCTGGCTCAAAACTGAACACACAAAACACCCATTGTATTACTAACATAACTGTACTCACCAACTGTTTGCCAATCCAGTCATATTCATAATCAAGCATATAGCCTTTCTGATCAAGCAAGTCTGTGAAGAGCTTTCTTAAGCAATCATAGTCTGGCTTTTCAAAGAAATCTAGCCTTCTTACATAACGCAGATAGGTAGCCATCTCCTCTGTATAAATAAATATACATAATTGTTATATCTGTTTTTACAGACCCCACAAAAAAAACCCAGCTTAATCACATTTTAAAGCAACTTCTACTTCTCACCATAAAACATGAACAGCTGTTCATCATGAATCTGTGAATTACCAGACAGAAAAGTTACTCACTAGCAGTAATATTCTCTGAGATACCTTGCTGTACTCTAAACATACCCTATCAAGTGACCCCCCACTAATTTTCCCTTTGCATTACCTGTTGAGATCTTCCATTCAACCTTTAAATCCTAATGCACAATGTGGCAAAAAAGTGGAAAGAGAAATGCTTCTACATTTTTTTCCCCCCCACTTAAAGTGACAAGACTGAGCAAAGTAAAGAAAGGGGTATATGACATTAAGCATCTGCCTCCTGTTCACAAAGCACCTGCTTCGGACAGGACTTTCTTTCACAAGAGGAAATACAATCAGTTTGTCATGAGCTACTCTCAGCAAGTCCATTTTGTCTATCAGCCATACTGTGTTTACTTTTGAAGGTGTTCATTTTCATTTGGCAGAATCATGCCCATGTCATTTATGTCCCCTGTACCAAGCAGATTAGTCCAACTTTTAAAAAATGCCATCTTTGCTTCTCTCCAATTCCTCACAGATTCTCCTTGAACCTAAGAAGAACTAGAAGTGACACCTGAAACTTGAAAGTTATTTAAAATATTATTTCAAGCTGCTTCTAATGTGGCTTGTTTTAAATAAGGGTATGATATGCAGGGTGCCACACCTGGGGAATTAAAAACCCAGGCACCAGTACAGGCTGGGGGCTGACCTGCTGGTAAGCAGCTTTGTGGAGAAGGACCTGGGGGTCCTGGTAGATGACAAGCTGCTCATGAGCCAGAAGTGTGCCCTGGTGGTCAAGGCCAACGGTATCCTAGGATGAATCAGGAATAGCATTGCCAGCAGGTCAAGCCAGGTGATTCTGCCCCACTACTCAGCCCTTGTGAAGCCACATGAGCATGTTGTGTCCCCTTTTAGGCTCCTAGCACAAGAGAGACATGGAGCTCCTGGAGTGGGTCCAGTGTACGGCTACAAAGACGATTAAGGGGCTGGATTATCTCTTCTACAAAGGCTGAGGGAGCTGGGCCTGTTTAGCCTAGAGAAGAGACAACTGAGAAGGGACCTCATCAATGTCTATAAGTTGTTGAAAGGAGAGTGTCAAGAGGATGAAGCCAGGCTGTTCTCGGTGTTGCCAACCATTAGGATGAGAGGCAATAGATAGAAACTGATGCATAGGAAGTTCCACCTGAACATAAGGAAGAACTTCTTTACTGTGCAGGTGACTGCACTGGAACAGACTGCCCAGAGAGGTTGCAGAGTCTCCCCCATTGGAGATATTCAAGAACTGTCTGGATGCAACCCGGTGCCATGTGGTCTAGGATGATCCTGCTTGATCAGGGAGGTTCAATCAGATGACCCACTGCAGCCCCTCCCAACCTGACCCCTTCTGCAATCTATTACCACAGTACATAATACATGTATTTGGAAGCATTATATTTTATGTTTAAAGCCAGATCTTAAGCAATAACCTATGTCAGTTTCATTTTATAAGCCAATACACAACATTTTATTAACAGTAGGCATTACCTGGGAAGTTTTCACACAGTACTTCTATAGGGGTTGCTCGTTTTGTGTCACCAATTTTCTGGTAACGTTCTTTTAAGGTATCAGCCTATGATATAAGAACAAAACAAGCTTCTTAAATTACACAGCCTGCAGAGAAATTTCAAAAAGAGAAAGTTCATGTCAAGAAAAGCTGATGAAAACAAGACAGAGGAAGATATCAAAACCCACTACCTTTAAACCTTGCCATGGAAGACTTCCTCTGAGAAAATACATAAACATATGACCCAAAGCTTCCAAATCATCTCTTCTACTTTGTTCTGAAACAGAATGCAAATATTATTAGAAAACACAATTTGTGTGATATTAAATTATATTTGAAAGGTTAGTTTCCAAATAATGTAGAACTAATTGGTAGGTATGAACTACTTGAAGTCAAACTGAGCATGGATGTGGGGGAATGGTTCTTGTGTACTACTGACTCCATTGAGAACACAGCTAAATAAAAAATAAAGCACATGCAGGCTACAGGCATATTCATCTCAATAATACTTCAAGCAAATTACCTCACTGTAAGAAATTGTTCTTACTTTAAAACTCATTTGACCCTTTATATATATAATTGCGATTTAACGGCAGTATTTTTTGATCCATGAGTTGTGAACTTGAAAGAATTTTAAAAAGCTTTAATTGAATTCACTTTTGCCCTGTAAAATCATGGAGAAGACAGAAATTCCATAATGAGTTCCTGAGAAAAAATACTGAGTAAGTCAAAGGTAGACTGACAAAGGCTATTATATGAACAGAAAGCAGCATGAAGAGGCATGTACATACAGCCTGCTCCCAAGTCTAGTTTACATATAAGCTATTACAGAAGACAGTGTCTGGCAAGGTTACAAGTTTTTGTTTGCAGTAAAGTAGTGCCAGTCCTTCAAAAAGTTCACAGGTTAAAGAAAAAGGAGAGTACAAGCAAAACAGTGCATCCAAAGTTTTCAATGTACATTTCATTCAGTTTTAAAATTAAATCCATTATTGTTAGAAAAACCAAAAGTAATAGAGAGTCTTCAAATTACTAGTAGAAAACACACTTTTACATTTCCACATAATTTAATTCAGTACTGTTGTTGAAACAAGCATTACACATTGTACTGTAGTAACTGTAGGTTTGACTTCCTCCCTGACACAAAGCAGAAAACTAAAATATTAACATTGTTTCTACTCAGTATTTCACAAGTAAAAATCGCTATGCTTTGACAACAAGAGAAATAGAAAAGGAAAGTAAATGAAAAAATGCTTGGTATTTTTGAACACAGGTAAGTTAACAAAGCCAACCTCGCTCCGATCTGATCAACCCATAATATACCCACAAATATACTATATCTGAAGGCCAATCCTTACTTTCATACGAAGAGAACAATGTACTTATTGTTCTGTTTTCTATCCCTATCTTCTAATTTGAACATTGAGTAAACCACAGTAGCGAAAACAAAAACAAAAGTATGGCAATTCAGAGCACAGGCTACATCTAGCCCCTTCCTTCACCACACATCTGCCAGCCCTATGAGGTTCTTTCACAGTCATTTCTCCTTCACTCATTTCCATGTTTCCAATTCCCTTGCCAATACTCTTCTTGTGTTCACTCCTCCACTCTTGTCCACTGCTGCCACTTTCTCAGTGAGAGCCCTCCAGACAATTTGGTTTTATTTGAATTTCTCTACCAGCCCTGCAACATCCCATTTGCTGACCATATGCTAACCCAATACAATCACATTGCTTAAGAAAGCAGGAATAAGCTGCAGAGCTCTATACTGCAGAGTTCTATGCCTGACAGGCTTCAGAAACATTGAAACTGAAAGAAACATTGGCTCCAGTTGCCAGCAGAAATCCTGAGCTCTTTATGAGATGGGGTGGACACGCAGAAAATGAGTACTTCAGGAGCAATGCTCATGACAAATATTTTGTGCAATGCAGTCAGTATATTTCATGTAAGACAAATAAGTGGTAACATCATGGCAAAGCATATGAGAATGTTGCAAGTGTGAAACATCTATGGTAAACACGAAGGCACAGTCTAAAAAATGTATCGGAAAGCTGTTCTGTCCTCACTAAGGGACAGTAATTCCTCTTTCACATTTATTTCTACAAGTTATCCTGATGGAAAACTAACTTTTTCCTTTAAAAAAAAACCCAAACAAAATAAATGTACCTTACTGGGGCAATTGCTCCTTCACAGAGGGTCCTATCTATGAAAGGTGGAACTTTCAATCTTTATCCTGAAATGATTTCTATTTAAGAGGAATTTGTTATTGTTATTGGATTTTTGTTGTTTTGTTTAGGCTTTTTAAGTGAACTTTGGACTGATAGCAATATGCCTGTAGGACAGTTCTGTGGGGACTCAATGAGATTCATCCTTAGGCCCTGAGGGAGTCAGTGGATGTAGTTGCTAAGCTGCTATCTATAATTTCTGAGAAATTGTGGCAGCCAGGTGAAGTCCCTGACGACTGGAAAAAGGGAAGTATAACCCCCATTATTAAAAACGGGAAAGTGGAAGACAGGGAACTACAGACCAGTCAGTCCTACATCTGTGCCTGGTAAGATCATGGAGCAGATTATGCTGGAAACTATGCTTAGGCACATGGAAAGCAAAAAGGTGATTGGTAACAGCTAACATGGCTCTACTGGGGCAAATCATGCCTGATGAATTTTGTGGCCTTCTACAATGGGGCCACAACATTGGTGGATAGGGGCAGGTCAACTGGACTTATACAAAGTGTTTGACACTGTCCCACATGACATCCATGTCTCTAATTTGGAGAGACATACCATGGATGGTATGGACCACTCAGTGGATGAAGAACTGGCTGGACAGTCACATGCAGAGAGTTGTGGTCAGCAGCTCACTGTCCATGTGAAGGCCAGTGACAAGGGGCTAGTGCTGGGGCCAACACTGTTCAACATCTTTGTTGGTGACATGGACAGTGAGATCGAGTGCAACCTCAGCAAGTTCACTGGCAACACCAAGCTGTGTGGGGCAGTTAACACAATGGAGGGAAGGAATACCATCCAAAGAGACCCTGACACACTTGAGAGGTGGGCTGATGGCAACCTCATCAAGATCAACAAAGTGAAGTGCAAGGTCCTACACCTGGGTTGTGGCAATCCCAGGTACACCTACAGGTTGGGTGGGGAAGTAATTGAGACCAGCAATAGGGAGAAAGACAAGTGGATCCCATCATGGTGGATGAGAAACTCAACATGAGCATCTTCTCTGTGAAGACAGGCTGAGGAACTTGGGGCTGTTCACCCTGGAGAAGAGAAGGTTGCATGGAGACTTCATAGAAGCCTTTCAGTATCTGAAGGGGGTCAATAGGGAAGCCAGAGAGGGACTGTTTTGTTAGGAATTGCAGTGACAGGACAAGAGGTAATGGGTACAAATTGAAAGAGGAGAAATTTGGATTAGATATCAGGAGAACGTTTTTTACCATGAAAGTGTTGAGACACTGGAACAGGTAGTCCAGGGAGGTAGTGGATGCACCAACCCTGGCAGTGTTCAAAGCCAGGTTGGATAACGTCTTTAGCAACCTGGTCTAGTAGGAGGTGTCCCCTTGCCCATGGCAAGGGGCTTGGGACTAGATCTATAAGGTCCATTCCAACCCCTTAACTATCTATGAATCTATGAACTACTTCTAGGATACACCATTTGAGTTCACAATACCCTCAAAACCCTGATATGAGAAAGAATTTTTTGCTCAATTTTGGGGAAAGATTTTTTTTTTTTAAGAATATATTTGAGTTCTTCACTGATCTCTTTAGAGTAAATAAAAAAGGATGAAATTCTTCACCATGAGTCTGAGAAACAAGAAATTCAGAGACTGTATTGTTATTCTGCAAAGAAGGACCTCTGAAAACCAGAAAAACTAGCAGTGGACTAGTTGAAACACAAAAGCATTTCAAGCATCAGCTGGAGGAAAGGCTGCTCATGTATACTGATCCTAGTGCATCTGAGTTTAATGAGACTGAGAAGATATGTTGCCTAAAAGGTAATCATAATCATTAGATGACAAACACACAACAAAGCTTTAGGACATATGGTTTCCTCTCTCTCAAGGAGGTCACGTGAACCTAGCAAAATTAGTAATATACTAATTCCTGTTATTTAGTTCACAAACTCTAGACAATTATGTCAATTGAAACAGGTTGATTTAAATAAAAACTAGAACCTCATTCAGCAGGCTAACCCCAGAAATTACCCTTTTTTAGCATACACAATAAAGTAACCATAACACAGCTTAAACAACAGACATTCAAGTCTTTAGTAAGCATCCACTATAAACACAGCATTCCCCTCTAAAGTTTTTTCTGCTTCCTATAGGAATGCTCTAACAGTAGAAACATACTGTCTACTTAGATCAGAAAACACAGTATTAGCTACCCAGAAGATTACATGATTAGATATAGAGACTCATTGCCATAATCAAAGTGGATGGAAAGCGACAATCTACCTAACCTGAACTGTCAGTCCATAAAGTTTAGCAAAAATAAATTTGAAACCCAGAGTTTGCAGATTTTATCTAAGTCAACTAAAATCCTGGCCCAGAGGTCCAGTGATAATTCAATGGATACGAGAAGGGAAACACTGAATGTCTTAGAGGGGAGCTTAGGTCTGGGAAATGACTTCAACCTGCACCACTGGATCAGTGACAAGTGAAAGTTGCTGGGACTCCTGTGGGGCTATCACCACAAAAATCCAGGCCATAACTTCAGAAAAGAATTATTTTTTTTCCTTTGAGCTACTGCAAAAACTCCAGGATTGTGGCTAATAAAATTTCAGGACCAAATGGTTACTTTTCTTGCAATAAGAAATGCACTAAAATTGATCCAAACTAGAATTACTTGTTGATGGTTTAGATTGCAGAGTCTTGCCCTATCAAAATGATTTTAAATCTAAAACATATGACAGCTCTGATAAGAGAGTAGATGTACTATAAAGGTAAGGATGGGATTATCTTGGGGGGGTTTTTTTAAGATAAGTACAGTTTAAAGAAATTTACAACTCCGTGTGAGTATCCTTTCTGTTGCCAAATAACTTAGACAACAGGTCAGCATGGTATTTTTCCCAATTTAGGGAAATCCCCAAAAAATTACCAGTTTACACTTTACACTTTTACAGATGCAGATTTTTGTTTTCCTTAAACTCCCAGTCAGAATCTACATTCTCTGTAATCTCACTTTCCCTTCCTGAAAATGAAGGGAAATAGAGAAAAGAAGCACAGAGTAATTTTATCACAGAGAAATCACTTTACAGAAGCTGAGGCGCTAGCTACATGCTGATATGTCCTGCAGAGCAAGTACCTATTTGAATAAACGCACATCACCTTTCACATAGACAAAATACCTTCTATTCCAGATACAAACTCCCAGATTAGCACAAAACTACCAGAAATCCTTGATCAAATGTCAGTTCTGAAACAAACAGTTATTGGCTACATGATGTTCAGTAACTATACATAACCTATATACACCCCAAAAGAGTGGGCTTTGGCAATTTTATGTAAGTTCTGACTAACCATTTAAAGTCTTTCTGGTAACTATGCATTTGGTATGACAGTTTTAAACACTATGGATCCTAAAATGTACTTCTGATTCAAGGACAACATACTTCCTTATTAACATACACTAACATAGAGCAAGTTACAGTTCAGTAGAGGCATAGTCCTAAGTAACTTGAAAGAGAAAGTGAACCTGACAGTGTCCCTCTACACTGGAACACTTACTTATCACAAGGGCCAGCTAACACCTTGGATAATCAAGAAGCAGTAATATCTGTGTTAGTTTTGTTATCTGACCATTCAAGTGGCTGAGAAAATTATCTCTAGAATAAAAATACTGCCCTAAAAATTAACTTATTGCCAGTATTTTCAGCCTATATGCTGAAAATATAGGAAATATATTTCCTATATGCCACTGTCTCCGCAATCACAGGGATAACAGAACTTGAAGAGTTTCAGTGTTCTGTACATCCCACTACATAAAAGAAATAATAAATTTTTAGAAGTATAACACAAAACATACAGAAAAAGCTCCAGAAATGGAAGAATTCAGGCTCTTTAGGAAGGACAGGCAAGGCAGACAAGGAGGCAATGTCACCCTCTGGCAATAACCATCAGGAGTGCATGGAGCTCTGTCTGGGCATGAATGAGGAGCTGACCAAGAGTTCATGGGTCAGGATAAAAGGGAGGGCAGGGACAGGCAGCATTATAGAGGGAGTCTGCTACAGGTCAGCTAACCAGTGAATGAGTCCTTTATAGACACCTAAGAATGACCTCACATTCACAAGCCTTGGTCCTCATGGGGGACTTCAACCACCATGACATCTCTTAGAGGGACAACACAGCATAGCAGCAGCAATCCAAGAGGTTCCTGAAATGCCCTGGTGACAACTTCCTTCTCCAAGTGACAGAGGAGTTAAAAAGGAGAGATGCTATGCTGGGCCTTGTTCACAGCAACAAGGAGAGGGTGGCGGGTGTTGTGAAGCTCAAGAACAGCCTTGGCTCCAGTAACCATGAGGTGGTGGAGTTCAAGATCCTTCAGGCAGGGAGCACAGCAAACTCACTACGCTGGACTTCAGGAGAGGCGACTAGGCCTCTTCAAGCATCTGCTTGGTAGAGTTCCATGGGATAAAGCTCTGGAGGAAAGAGGGTCCCAAGAAAGCTGGTTAATATTCCAACCATCAGTTCCTCCAAGCCCAGGAGCAATGCCTTGCAGCAAAGAAAAAGTCAGGCAAAAAACACCAGGAGGCCTTCACGGGTGAACAGGGAGCTCCTGGATGAGTCCAGAGTGAAAAGGAAGCACATAAAGGGTGAAAGCAAGGACAGGTAGTCTGGGAGATATACGGAGAGATTGTCTTAAGAAGTCAGAGAACAGCTTATGAACGCCAAAGCCCTGATAGGATTAAGAGTAGCCAGGGATGTATATGGCAACACGAGCAGCTTCTATAGGCATGCTGATGACAAAAGGAAGACTAGGAAAAATGTGGGACCTCTCCAGAATGAAACAGGAGACCCAATTACATGGGATATGGAAAGAGATGAGGCAAAAAGCCAACTGTTTTGCCTCAGTCTTCACTGGCAAGTGTTCCAGTGACACCAGCAAAGGCAGGGACTAGGAGAATGAGAACCACCCACTGTAAGAGATCAGGTTTGAGACCATTTAAGGAACCTCAAGTCCAAGGGACCTGCTGAGGTGCATCTACGAGACCTGAGGGAACCTCAGACTAAGGCACTATCCATTACACCTATTACATTTGAGAAGTCATTACAGTCCAGTGAAGTTCCCACCAACTGAAAAAGGGGAAATACAACCCCCACTATTACAAAGGAACCTGAATAGGCTTGAAAGGTAGGCCTGTGCAAACCTTATGAAGTTCAACAAGGACAAGTGCAAGGACCTGCACCTGGGTCAGGGCAATCCCCAGCACAAAGACAGGCTGGGAAGAGATTGCAGAGCAGCCCTGAGAAGGACTTGGACATGTTGGTGCATGAGAAGTTGGACATGAACCAGCAATGTGCACTGGCAGCCCAGAAAGCCAACAGCATCCCAGGCTGCATCAAAAGCAATGTGGACAGCAGGTTGAGAGGCAACTCTGCCCCTCTATGCTGCTTTGGTGAGACCCCATCTAGAGTACCGCATCCAGTTCTGGGTTCCCCAACATAAGAAGGACATGGACCTCACGAAGAAAGTCCAGAGGAGGGACACCAAAACCATCATGATTCTATGGTTATGCTTTATTGATCAAGTATCTTATTTCTGTAAGAAAAATGGGATGGTTTCTCGTTTACCATATTAACAGTTACACTTAGAGTTGAACTCTAAGTATTGCGCAACTTTTTATGATTAAAGAGCAACCTAATTAGTGATTACCATGTAGCGATAAACAACTGGCTGACACAAATTCAAAGAGGTCAAACCTGTTTTGGTTAGAAAATCTCTTTATAACTGGAACAAACAACAATCTGGGTGTTCATACCTTTTTCTAAGTAAATTTATTCATTCAATTATAACAAACTTCATCTTCATATATATCCTGTCCTTTCTTTAGCTCCTTAGCATAACCTTTAACTATTCTGACAAAGCCTTATTAACAGTGTAAGCACTAACAAAAAATAAACCAAGAAATCAGTATCATATATAAGCTACTTAATTATTTCATGGTGCATTTCAAAGATATCAGAAAATGGGCAAGGTAGCATTGAAAACCTATGTTGTTGCAACCTATTCACTTTACTATTTTTCGTAAGCATATCTACTTCCCGGACACTCCAGTCTGCCATGGCATACTTGTAATGTGAAGATGCTATGACACAAAAAGATACACCTCATCTTTCTTTTATGGATATCTAACAAAAGTAACAGCTCTCAAGATATGACCATGATGATTAGAGACTCAGAAAAGATTATTCCCATGAACAGTATTTTCATACAGACAAACTGTATTTTTGCACAGTACATAAAATGTCCAGTTCTTAATGACTACAGGCTAAGAAAAATTACAACTTGAAACAAAGATGGCTTATGACAAATCACAGCTGTTGATGAATTCTTGTTTCTACACTCAAAAAGTACACGTACCTTTTCCTAAATGTGTATTTATACTCATGTATCTAGCTGTTCCTGTAAGGCTCTTATGTTCTCGATATGGTATGTGCTTCTTCGTTTCTGGATCTACATACTCCTTTGCCAAACCAAAATCTATAATGTGAATAATTTGCTGGGCTTTGTTTCCAGGTCGTCCTATTAAGAAGTTCTCAGGCTTTACATCTCTGTATATCAAGTTCTTTGAATGGACATATTCCATACGAGAAATCTTTAATAAAAGAAAAACAAAACAACAAAAAACAGAAAGTTTAGTTTAAGCTTCAGGTTGACACATTAAAATGTGTTAGAAGCTAAGTATCTCAAATTGACTTTCTATTTAGAAGAAATCACCCCTCCTAACATCTTAAAAACCAAAGGGATATTGCTCTTAACAAGATATCTCCCAGTTACGGTTAATGAAAACTGCACACTTTTCCTAAGCAGATACACCAGGTGGTTGGTGCATTGGAAACATTCACACCGGATATTAGTCACAAATCAGCATATAACAGAAGTTATCTTCTGTAAGAGAAACTTGCACAAGTATGTTTTGTGCATGTTAAAACTAAACCCAGAAACTATGTCATCAAGCAGTAAGCAGCAAAGTTCCAAATAGATCTGTTACATGTTAAAGGTATAAATGAGAGAAGTACTGAGAGTTCACCACTATGCATATAATCTCCACTCTAGTTATCAGTTTCTATCGAAATTTCTATATTCAGAAAGGAAGTATAAATAAAGATGGCTTGAGCATTTAAAAAATTTGAGCTTAGTCATTTTGGCTGTAAATAAGATGAATGTGTCTATATGTCTGTAGCTGGAGTCCTGTTATACAACTTCAGTTGTGTTTTAGACTGCTAATTTTACCCTTCATGGGTAAAAATATCACTATCTATTTAGGGAAGTAGAAGTTCAGTATCATTATTATTTCCTAAGGACTCATTTAAAACTCATTCTATAAAGGTAAACATGCACAGCCTTTCTTTGCACTTCTGCCCACCTCTAGGTTAGAATCAAATAAGGAAATCTTCAAAAAAGAGAATAATACTTCATAGAATAATTTTTGTGCTATAATTTGTGGAAGAGTTTGCAGAATTTTTCATTTGTTCACTTTCTTGTTTACAAGAACGCCCAGAAAAATATTTGTGCTATTTAGGAGTCCCACCAGCCAGCTGCTTTTGGGGACCAAAATTATTTTTATTTCATTAAGATTTTCTTTTTAAAAAAGTATGTCATAATAAAATTCATGATTTCAGGTTGTGACTATGAGAACTCAGAAGACAATGAAATTACATTCATGCAACAACTCTTGAAAAACTGGAATAAATTAAATGCTAGTGAAATAGGACAGTCTCCCTGCTAAAACTGTATCACAGGCTCTTTAATACATGAGAAGCGCAAATGTCTTAAGTGAAATAAGCATTTAATCCATTGAAGACTGATTTAGTTATTCTAATGAAGACTCAAATTAACATCTATTCTACTTACCAACTGTATGGCTATCATAAGAACGGTTTTAAGAGAAAATGTCCTACCACACAAGTCAAATAAATCTTCCAGGCTAGGTCCAAGTAGTTCTAGCACCATAGCATTATATTTGCCACATGGGCCAAAATAGTAAACCTGAGGTATTCCATCTGTAAAATGAAAATACAAAGTAATTATAAGGGGTTAAATAGTATTAATGAACATACCAATAAAATTCCCCCACGATTTCAAGATGGTCTGAAGTTCAAACATATTTTTCACATAAAAATGGGAAAAAAAAACAAAACAAAACCAAACCTCATAAAAACTACAGGTAAAAGATAC